TGGATGGTAGTTCTTCTTTTAATTTTTGAGGAACAGGCATAATCTTTCTCATAGTGGTTGCACCAATTTATGCTCCCACAAACAGCCCATAAGAGTTCTTGTTTTCTCCACATTCTCACCAAGACTTGATGTAGCTCGTCTTTCTGATTATAGTCATGCAAAACCATGAGGTAATAAATCATCATGGTTTTGAGTTGCATTTCCCTGATGTTTAGTAATGTTGATCACCTTTCTAGTAACTGTTGGCCATCTGTATGTCTTATAAGAAAAAAATGTCTATTCTGAACGTCTGCCCATTTTTTCAGTCAGATTGTTTTTGTTTTTTTTGCTATTGGGTAAAGAGAGTTCTTTATATATTTTAATATCAATCCTTATCATGTATATGATTTGCAAGTATTTCCCCCCAATCAGTAGGCTGCATTTTCATTTTGTTCACTGTTCACTTTACTGTGTGGAAGCTTTTTTCTTTTTGCCATACCAAGTGGCTTTTGGAATCTTAATTCCTGGACCAGGGATTCAACCCAGGCCCCTGGCTGTGAAGCACAGAGTCACACTCAGTAGACCACCAGGGAATTCCCATTTTTTTGTTTGATGTAGTCCCACTTTACTTTTTACCTTTGTTTTTAGTGTCTTTTAAAATTTTTTTTAAAGCACCAAGACCAATGTTAAGGTCTATGTTTCCTCCAGAAATTTTATGGTTTCAGATTCATCTTTAATCCATTTTGAGTTTTATTTTCTTTTTGCCAGTGTTGGTCTTCATTGCTGTGTGCAGATTTTCTCTAGTTGTGGTAAGTGAGAGCTACTCTCTGGTTGAGGTGTGCAGGCTTCTCACTGTGGTGGCATCTTTTTGCAGAGCACAGACTCGAGAGTGCAGGGGCTTCAGGAGATGTGGCAGGTGAGCATATTTGCTCTGAGGCATGTGAAATATCCCCAGACTAGGGATCAAACCCATGTCCCCTGCACTGGCAGGTGGATTCTTGACCACTAGACCACCAGGGAAGTCCATTTTGAGTTAATTTTTGTGTATGGTGTAAGATAATAGTTCAGTCTTATTCTTTTGCAAGTGGCTGTCAGTTTTTTCAACACCATGTATTGAAAAGATTGTCTTTTCACCATTGTATATTCCTAGTTCCTTTGCTATAAATTAATTGGCTGTAGAATGTATGGATTTATGTCTGGGCTCTCTATTTTGTTCCATTATGTATGTGTGTTTTTATGCCAAACCATACAGTGTTATTTACTATAGTTTTGTGACACACTTTGCCATCAGTGAGCATTATGTCTCCAGCTTTGTTCTTCTTTATCAAGATTGCTTTGGTTATCTGAGTTTTCTATGTTTCCATACACACATTATAATTTTTTTTCTTGTTTTGGTGAAAATGCCATTGGATTTTTAATAGGGATTGCAGTGAATCTGTAAATTACTTTAGGTAGTAAGGGTATTTCAACAATATTAATTATTCTAACCCCTGAGCAAAAAATTTGTTTGTATTTTCTTCAATTTCTTTCACCAATGTAATATTATTATAGTTTACAGTGTTTACACTGTAGTTTGCAATGTTCTTTCATTTCTGATTTTATTAAATTTGACTCTTCTCTTTTTCTTAGTGAGCCTAGATAAAGTTTTTAGTTTGCTTACCTTTTTAAAAATAAAAACAGCTTTTAGTTTTGTTGATCTTTGCTCTTGGTTTCTCCCTCCCCCTTTTTAGTCTCTGTTTCATTTACTTCCACTATGATCTTTATTTCCTTGCTTCTACTCACTTTGGACTTCCTTTGTTCTTCTTTATCTAGTTCCTTGAGTATTAACTTAGGTAGTTTATTTGAAATGTTTTTGTTTCTCAATCATTCATCGCTATGAGCTTCTCTTCTAGAACTTCTGTTTCTGCACCCCATAAATTCTAGTATGCTGTAATTCCATTATCATTTGTCTCAAAGTATTTTAAAATTTCTCTTTCGATTTCTTCTTTGATTCATTGGTTGTTCAGTTGCATTTTATTTAATCTCCACACCGTGAATTTTCCAGTTTTCTTTCTAATGTTGGATACTACTGTGGCTTCCAAGTACACTTTTTATAGTTTCAATCTTTCTAAACTTATTATGAGTTTGTTTAGTGAGCCAACATATGATCTATCCTGAAGAATGTAAAATGTGTGTTTGAGAAGAATATGTATTATGATGCTCTTGAAAGCAATATTCTATATATGTCTGTTAAGATGGATTTATATATGGTGTCATTTAAGGCCAATATTCCCCTGTTTATTTTTTGGTCTGGATGATCTATCCAGTAGTGAAATTAATGTCCTCAAGTGGAATATTAATGTCCTCAACTATTACCATATACCTGTCTACTTCTTCTTTAAGTCTGTAAATATTTGCATTATATTAATATATTTAGGTTATCCAATAGCATAAACATTTTGACCACAAAATTCCATAAGCAATTCTATAATTAGTGTTTTCCAACAAAAATGCAAATATATAAAAATTATGTAAGTAAATATATATTTATATGTAATATTTATTTATATATTTATCAAAAGACATACAGAAATGTTTTTAGTTAAACTAGTTTAACATCTTTACTTTTTCAATAGTCTCAAACTGCAAACTATAGATATATGATATAATATTTTTGGATGGAAAGCATTTTATAGCTGCAATTTAGAATGCAGGGAGCTTTTTTTTGGTCCTTAGGTGTTGTCCAACCACTCATGCATTCATCTTCATCAAATATTTGTAAGCATCCAGTGTGAGAAAGAATATCATCTAAAGAAATGTTCTTTGACCTGAGAATGTGATGACCGAGTAGAAAGAATTAAGTAACTTCCTGCAAAATATATTATGCACCAAAGAAGTCTCTGAATGGATTCTTGCATACTCAGAAATCTGCTCTGATTCACGTACCCCTCTCTTTGAGCATAATAATTTTATCTATTCCATAAACTAATATGCCAATTTATTAACCACAATTGGGCTTCCCTGGTGGCTCAACTAGTAAAGAACCCACCTGCCAATGCAGGAGACACAAGATACATGGCTTCAATCCCTGGATCAGGAAGATCCCATGGAGAAGAAAATGGCAATCTACTCCAGTGTTCTTGCCTGGAAAATGCTGTGGGCAGAGGAGCTAGAAGGCTATAGTCCATGGGGTTGCAGAGAGTTGGACACAACTGAGCACACATGTGCACACACACACATTAATCATAATTATAACTATAATAACTATAGTTTTGACAGTCTATTAGATCGGTCATTTCTCTGTGCAGGAATATCTAAAAGGAAAGTCAAGTAGTAACTAGAAGTTTATTTTGTGAGAACAAAGAATCAAAATAAGTATTAGGAACAACAAAATGTTGAGTAGTATCCCAGGTACTCATGTCAAACACGTGGTCTTTCCTAAGGGACTGGAAAACTCAGGAGCAGGGCCCCTCGCACCTGTGCATTGTCAAACCTTGTATGTGTACCTTTCCTGACTCTGAACTTCCATGGCCAACTATCCCATCCCCATTTAAGAAACACACATTCATTTTTCAAATCGTTTCAAGCTTGAAGAAATTCTGCTAGTCTTGATACCACATTTTCTCTCTAAAGTGTCTTTGTATAAACTGGTTCTAGTCCTATTTATGTCTGTAAATGCAACTTTAGAGGTGAAATCCTGTCAACTGCAGTTGATATGACTATGTGTGGAAAAAAAATTTTTTTAAAGCCCATCTATTGATAAATGTTTAGAAATAATTAGGAAGTTTGTTTATAATATCAACACACATAAATTATGTTTATATATGTCAAAAATATTGAGAAATTAAAATTTTAAGTTGTACCCTATAGTAGCATAAACTATCAAGTAATTAGAAAGAAATATAATAAAAATGGGAAAGACCTCTACAGAGAACAGTATAAACACTTTGACCAAGCAATTCTACTTGTAGATATTTATCCAACAGAAATGTTTATATATGTGCAGCAAAGGACCTGTTCATAACAACATTACTTTTATTATCCCCAAACTGCAACCAATCCACATATATATCAATAGTAAATAAATAAAATGTATCATATTCAATCACTGAAAGATTATACAGCAAGGAGAATGAATGAACCACCCAAAAATGACAGGGATGAGTGTGACAATCATAATATAAAGGGAAAGTGACCAATTATGTAGTATTGAGAGTTATATTTGAAAGGGATGGTGTTAAGTTCTATTTCTTAACCTGATAATAGTGACATGTGTTCACTTTGAGATAGTTTATCAAGTTGGAGATTTTATCACATGAGAAATGGAAGAAATAATTTGTGGGGGATTGTATGAGCTCAGAATGAATAATACATATCAAATGCATATGTGTATAAATCCTTACATCATGAATACTGTTGTTGTGTAGTAGCTAAGTCATGTCTGACCCTTTTTCGACTCCATGGACTATAACCCTCCAGGCTCCTCTGTCCATGGGATTTCCCAGGAAAAACTACTGGAGTAAGTTGCTGTTTCTTTCTCCAGATGCTGTATAATAACAAAAAACACAGTATGGGATGAATAGTGGCACAAGATTTATTTAGAAATCCAGGTAAAATTCCCTGCACCTAGAGAGACAACTCAAAGTGATTATGAAAAAAAGAAAGTAAGATGCAAAAATAATTGGTATATTGAAAAGATACATGATTATGAAGATAAGTATTAGAAACTAAAGAAAAAGTCTTGAGGATTTTTTCCCTAAAATACATGTACCAAGAAGGTGAAGATCTAGATTTCAAAGTCAAAGTCAAGATGCTCCATTATAATGATGCAGGAAGTTGGCACATGACCCACACAGATAGGAAGGGGAGAATCAGGGTGAAGTCCTCTACATTCCATCAGGTTGATTCAGAAGCTTTTATATAGGTAGATGAATAACAAAAAAAGTGGTAATAGACTGCTGGCTTTCAGCATCATTTGGAAGTGAATTTGTCCTAGGAACAGCAAGGTTTATTTGTGAGATGGTGGTTCTTTGGTGAGGTTTTCAGCAGCAGGAAGGCTGGCAGCAGGTGGACACACAGCTGGGGTGGCAGCAGGTGGTCCTACAGCAGATGGGGTGGCAGCAAGGCTGGCAGCAGCTGGATCTGCTGCAGGTGTGTCCACAATTGCTGGACCCACAGCACGTGGGCTGACAGCAGGTGGTCACACAAGCAGGTTTGCAGCAGGTGGTCCTGCAGCAGGTGGTCTGACAGCAGACAGGGCGGCTGCAAGGCTGGCAGCAGCTGGATCCACAGCTCTGGTCTTGGCACCCGGGCAGGCAGTAGCACGTGGGATGGTAGCAGGTTCTATGGCAGTACACGGGTGCACAGGAAGCTGGCTGGCAGCAAGACTGAGAGCACCTGGACCCACTGCAGGTTTGTCCACAGCTGCTGGATCCACAGCAGGTGGGCTGGCAGCAGGTGGTCACACAAGTAGGCTTGCAGCAGGTGGTTTCAGTAGTTTGACAGCAAGTTTGGGGGCAGGAGGGCTGGCAGCAGGTGGGCTGACAGCAGGTGGTCACACAAGTAGGCTTGAGGCAGGTGGTCCTGCAGCAGGTGGTCTGACAGCAGGCAGGGCGACAGTAAGCCTGGCAGCAGCTGGACCCACCACAGGTGGGCTGACAGCAGGTGGTCACACAAGTAGGTCTGCAGCAGGTGGTCCTGCAACAGATAGTTTGACAGCAAGTTGCGGGGCAGCAGGACTGACAGCAGCTGGGCTCATAGCAGGTGGGCTGGCAGCAGGTGGTCCTGCAATAGGTGGTCCTGCAGCAGGTAGGTTGACAGCAAGGGGAGCAGCAGGAATGGGTCATGGTGTCAGGTGTGGAGGGGTGGCTTCTGAGCAGAGACAAATTTCTCAGAATCTGAATACCTCTTCTCTACTAGACCTTTTATACTCTGGTTCCCCAATTTAGGACCAATGAACAGAATTTTCCTTGTTATTATTTATAACATTTTTCATGATCCATGGAAAATTGCCTAGGGAGGAAGTGTTCCCTGAGTATTATGAATCTTCTGAAAACAGGATTATTTTCCTAGTTAATATTAAACCATAGGAACTTATTTCCAGAAACAGGAGAAATCATCAACATCCATACCCTTATTTAAGTACGAATCATCATTTCTCAAGACAGAATTCATCCTTTTGTCACCTGTCAGTTCAAGATAATTTGTAGAAGATTTCAGAGCCATTGTCCCCACCTACATTTTCCTCTTGGAGCTGCTTATTTTGGGATTCACCCCTCAAGATAGGTGAAACAAAAGTGATGAATTCAGCTCATATTTTAACACATTCTGAATTAAAGTTACTTTTTAACAAGTCTTTCATCTATGCCACACAAAATTCAATGATAGATAAATCTACGAGTAGGAAGCTTTTCCACTTGGTATCTCATTTCCTAAAAACAAGGGACTGAACTCACTATATTAGACATTATCTTCCCATGCTCAACTTCAAATCTGCTGACAGACCTGATAACAAACTTGCTCTGGGGATGCTATCTTTATTATTTCCTTATTCCCTTTATTTAATGGCAAAGGGAAGAGTCTCAAAGCAGTTAATTTGACAACTAAAATATTTTTCTTTCGATTGCAATTTAAAAGAAAGGCTATGGAGGACAGCAAAGTGGGTAAAGATGGGCAGGTGTTTTCACTAGTCAGATAGTAAGTTGGCAAAGGAAACCATACCTTTGATGATGATCATTTGGTAGTGTATACAGGAATCTAAATAGAATATGGTACAAGCAAAACTCAATGTTATAAGCCAATAAAAATATACAAATGTCAATAAATTATAAACATGCAGGAATAAAAGGGACACCAATGACTCAGTGGAGCAAAGCATAATATTTTGGATACTTAGCAATTTCCATATTTGTAACCTTTTGAAAGAAAGAGCATATTTATTTCACTGATTAACACTGTGGTTCCTGATACTTCATTTGCTCTGGCTTAACTGCAGTTATGGATTTCTGATGCCTCTGCTGCTGGGCTTCCTGATCTTGGTGGCGAAGTTGTATATAAACCCCCTGTTAGTAGATCCAGTAAATGGGTAATAGCATTACCAGTTCATCTGGTCTAATAATCTGCTGCTGTTCATTGAGTCAGAGTGGAATCATAGCAGAAGTGGGATGGGTTGAATATCATCTTTCCCTTCCGTGCCTCTGTCCTGAGAATGGCTCTTAGAGGGTGGGAATCAACATGGATTCACTTGAATAAAGGAGAATTCCAAGTTTACTAGCTTGAAACTTGAACTAGAAGTAATTTGTAATAGGGCTGAGTAATTGGGATGTTGGGATGTTGGTTTGGAAAAGTGATCACCTCTATTTTGAACAATCTGAAGTCATGTGCCTTAAATCCAGTTATATTGCTTAGCTTCTTCATAAGTTATGAGTGTGTTATATGCTGATTTTGCCACCAGCACTTTGCTATAGTGAATTGAGTTCTGAGTTTTGGTGCATTAGTTTATTCATGTTTGGATTTAAGTATTGTCCAAATAGCAAGAATTGTGATTGTGTGTCTGTTTTGGGTACAAGAAGTTAAATGTCTTTAAGGCTAAAGAATGATGATGTTCAGAGTATCAAATAACACATTTTGGAAAGTATAAGAGAGAGTAGATGAGATGAAGATGAAATAAGAAAAGAAAGGCAAATGCTTCTTTTTAGGGATAAATGATTAAATAAAGATATGTAAGCATACTCTTTAAATACCAAAGCTAACCAGATGCTGCATCAGAATGTCTGATAATTTCCCTTTAAACATGATAAACAGCAGCTAGAAAATAATCTTGGACATGATCACATCTCCTCATCAGGGTATACAACAGGATTTGGGAGAAGACTTCCATTTGAGAACCTCACTCTCCTGGAAACCCAGAACCCTCTAACACCATGGTCAGCTCCTATTGTGGCTCCATCTGCTCTGACCAGGGCTGTGGCCAAGGTTTCTGCCAGGAGAACTGCTGCCGGCCCAGCTGCTGCCAGACTGCCTGCTGTCACCCCAGCTGTCGTGCATCCAGCTGCTGAGACTCTAGTTGTTGCTACCCTCTGTGGCTACAGTTCCAGTTGCTGGGTCCCCAGCTGTGGAGTGTCCAGTTGCTGCTGCCCAGTCTGCTGCCAGACTACCTGGTCTCTCCCAGCATTACAGATTTTCTTGTTGTTGAACTTCATTCCTCACCCCAGCCCTGAGTCAACCACCAGTATTCCAGTGTATTCATCTTTTTTTTTTTTTCATTTCTTTTGTCCACAGCATCTGGACTGGCTCTGATCTGTCACTGTGTTTGTCCATCCCATCGATCGTGCCACCAAGAAACTGTTTTAAAAGAAGCAGTTTAAACTGAGTACCACGGGGAGACTCTCCAGGTTCTGTGCCTGTTACCTTGACATTCAGGCAGATGATCAAATATCTACTCTAGTTCATGGGGACAGGCTCCTTATCTCATGACTGCTGTGCATGACCTGGCCTTTGCAGTGAGTTCTGTGTGATGGAACAACTACATGTCCATAAACACTTGGTATCAGAAATATTTTTGGCCCTCTATTTTATTTAGTGTTGATTATGAACTGGAGATAAACTTGTATTTCTGTCATGTGAACAAAGAAAACTGATTTTACATATCAATCAAATCCTGTATCAGAGAAAATGCTAAATAATGACTTTCCCCCCAAAAGTAGATTGTCCTCCTTGCCTGCAAGTTTATTGAGAGAAAACAAGAGCTTCCTTTTTACTACTGTTGAATTATGGACCACCCTGCAAGGTCCTTTGGGGAAGCACTAAGTCAAATGTGACCCAATTCCCATCCCAATGTAACTCACAATGAAATCTTGGATTCAATAGGAAGACACAGGTCAGGCAGAGTGTATTGGTGATATTGGTGAGAAAGAGAAATCATTCTGTTGGAGACAGGTAATGTATAAAGATGGATTCTTAAAAATAAAATGTGTCATGTATGAAAATTTAAGGAATAGTGTACAGTTTACAACCACATAAGACAAAGTGAAGGAGTGAATCAGAAGAAAGCAGAGTGTCTATATTCTTATAATGTAATTATTACTTTAAAACTACTCCCTCAAAACATATTATAATCATTTTAAGGAGGAGGGATATTTCCTAGCTGTCTTCCTGCCTTCAGAAAGAACACCAACCATCTCCAAACAAATGACTGTAGAACTGTGGCCCAATTAGATAAAAATTTCTAACACATGCTCTTGTCTTCACTTTGTGATATATGAATTTATGTCTATATAAATTGTAGCTTTCTTGCTATCATAAATGCTTTCAAGCTATGTTGAAACTAAGTGCAAAAAACTATTATACCTGGTGAAAATTTATAAAACCACAATTATAGCAGAGACTTTAACACCTTATTTTAGAATGGTCATTTGAAGGAGAAAAATAAACAAGGAAATAGAGAATGTGAGCAGAACCATTACCAATTTAGATGTAATTGATATTCATATGCTCTCTCTCAGGTGACTCAGTGGCAAAGTATCTGCCTGCTGAAACAGGAGCCACAGGAGATGCAGGTTCAATCCCTGGGTCCGAAAGATCCCCTGGAGAAGGAAATGGCAACCCACTGCAGTATTCTTGCCTTAGAAATCACATGGACAGAGAAGCCTGCCAGGCTATAGTTCATAGGATCAAAGGAGTTAGACATGACTGAGCATGCATAGCTGACAAATTTTCATATATATATCTATAAATCTCGAGTATGTTCACAAACATATAGACTACAAACAAAACTCTTTTGGCAGAATAATACAAACTTCTCTCTCTTACCCAAATGCAATGAAATTAGACTTTAACTGAAAAACAACACAACCAAACATGTTCATATAGTTTTGCTTTCTTTTTTACCTTCTTCCCTCCTTTCTGAAATTTTGTCTAAAAAACAAGGTGTGTCTATATGGAATAGGGATGGTCTGTTTTGCTGTAAAAGTGTACTTCATTTTCCTTATTAAAATAATGTAAAAATTATAGAAAAGTTGCAAGAATAGCTAAAGAAGTGTTCTTCATGACAAAATGATGCTCTGTAACATGGACCCTGGTGTGTATTTTCTACATCAGAGACATTCTCCTCCATAGTCACAATACAGTTCAATTTCAGACTTTCATTCTTACCAACAATGCTGCAAAGATCATTTTGAGTTTATATCCTGGAGCTCCTGCTTATGTGTATATGTTGAACATGTTTCTATAAGTGAAATTGCTCAATCAAATCTTATAGTTACTGCTGAATTACTTTATAAAGAATTTACTCCAGCTTAGACACCTAAGATATGAAAATATCTGTTTCCTTTTAAGCTCTCCAACTTATTAGAGTTTAAAAAATTAGTTACTTTATATTTGTCATTTCATTTTTTTTCCATTTATTTTTATTAGTTGGAGGCTAATTACTTTACATCATTGCAGTGGTTTTTGTCATACATTGAAATGAATTAGCCATGGATTTACATGTATTCCCCATCCCGGTCCCCCCTCCCACCTCCCTCTCCACCCGATCCCTCTGTGTCATTTCAAACTATTCACTGTTGTTATTCCCAGAGCCTAGAGCAGGACCTGGGACATAATAAGTGTTCAATATTTGGTTTACAAATGGATAAATTGTTCAATTAAAATTTTCAAAATTATAAATGAGACTGAAAATCTTTTAAAACCTTAAAAGGCATTCATATTTCTTTTTCAGTGAAATGACTGTTAATATCCTTCCCTCAACTTTCTATTTGCTTGTTAGCCTTTTTTTTCTTACTATGCATGCATTAAGAAAATTAGGTCTTTTGGGTTATATTGGTTAACCCATTTGTTATTTACTTACAGCTTGCTCTTTTGTAGTCTTTTGGTTTTGTTTAAAGCTTTAAAATGACTAATAAGACATTAAAATTTTTCTGCTCTAAATTTTTTAAATCTTTTCCTTTATTGTTAATAAGTTTTCTGTCTTAGAATAGCCTCTCCACTTTTTTAAGAAAAATGCCTCCAAGTACTCCAGTATGTTCACAGTTTATTTTTCTCACACTGTCTTTAGAGAACAAGCCCCACTTGAGAGCTGGTATGGGACACAGCTTTAAGGATGATGCAGAGTGTTGACATTTAAATGATGTATTATATGACAACCAGTTAGATGAAGAAGATGAAGAGTCTTTGAAATCAGATGATACATATAAGAAAGAAGATGAAATGTGAGTCAAGAGGAAAGACTAGATTGGATGAACCACAACACAGAGAAAGGAAAAATGCATTCTACTCAACAAATAACTAACATGATAATTGCCTATCTACTAAGGTAAACAATAACAAGGAAATAGCCCTTAACATAGTGACAGTAGTCCCTCAGGTGGGTATAAGAGGGGACATGTTGCAGTGAGACTTCCAAACTCAAGAATCTCACTGTCTAACCCACCTAGAATCTCCACCCTCTGACACCATGGTCAGCTCCTGTTGTGGCTCCGTCTGCTCTGACCAGAGCTGTGGCCCAAGTCTCTGCCAGGAGACCTGCTGCCAGCCCAGCTGCTGCCAGACCACCTGCTGCAGGACCACCTGCTGCCGCCCCAGCTGCAATGTGTCCAGCTGCTGCCGCCCCGTCTGCTGCCAGACCACCTGCCGCCCCAGCTGCGGCGTGTCCAGCTGCTGCCGCCCAGTCTGCTGCCAGACCACCTGCCGCCCCAGCTGCGGCGTGTCCAGCTGCTGCCGCCCCGTCTGCTGCCAGACCACCTGCCGCCCCAGCTGCGGCGTGTCCAGCTGCTGCCGCCCCGTCTGCTGCCAGACCACCTGCCGCCCCAGCTGCGGCGTGTCCAGCTGCTGCCGCCCCGTCTGCTGCCAGACCACCTGCCGCCCCAGCTGCGGCGTGTCCAGCTGCTGCCGCCCCGTCTGTTGCCAAACCACCTGCTGCCGTACAACTTGCTGTCGCCCCAGCTGTGGTGGATCCTTTTGCTGAAATCAACCATGAACCAGTCACTATCACATTAGTGTGGACATGTCATTCATTTTAAATTTTCCTTGTTTTAAATGACCACCAGCTTTAGTACCCTGTGGTACCACTAAGCCACAAGCGAAAGGGCCCCCATTCTGCATTCAGGACCATTCTTGTTCCCCACAGATCTCTTCCCTGCATCTAACCTCATGTGCATGATGCACTTGAACTAAACCTCCAAATATCTGACTATTACACTTGCCTTGACCTTCTCAATCATGTTAACTATTTCTAAATAACAGTATCTTGATATAATAAATCCATGTATTCTTCTTTAGTTATTTCTGAGAGTTGGTTTCCTATTTATTTTCCAGCATTCTTTTTCTCAAGATGAATAAAAGTGTGGGTTTCTATGGCCAGGAAAGAAAACTTGTTTTTCAAATATCGCCTAATGCCCGTATTATATAATAGAAAGGACTTTATGTATTTTCCCAAATAAGATAAGCCATCCTACCTAACAAGCAATAATTTTCTTACCCAGTCAGTAAAATGATCCATCCCTGGGCATGCTCTTGCACTGCTGGGCTCTGGAGATCATTCCAACATGTGTGAGGCATGGTTGCTTCCTATCAGGAGCTCACAATCCAATACTGGAGTTAAGAGGACCCGCCCAGGTAGGTAGAATATGTTGGGTAATATTCATGAGAAGGGGGAATTTCTGTGTGCATGTGTACATGCTAAGTGGCTTCAGGTGTATCTGACTATGTGAGACCCCATGGGTTGCAACCCACCAGGCTCCTCTGTCCATGGGATTCTCCAGGCAAGAACTCTGGAGGGTGTTTTCATTTCCTTCTCCAGGGGATCTTCTCAATCTCCCAGCATTATTATCAAATTTCTAAGGTAATTATTAAGTACACCAATGTTAGAGAATCTCTGTTAAAACTCTAGCTCTCCAAAATCACTTACCACTCCTTAAACCTGTCTCTGCCTTTGTACATGTCAGCATTTCTGGCTCAAGTTCACTCTCAAACTGTCTCCTTCTTGTTATTCAAGGTCCATGTCTAACATCACTTTTGTGCATCAGTTTTAGACAGTTATTTCTCCTACCATATGGAGGTTCATAACACTTGATTTTCTATATAGAATTATTCTTTGTGCTGTAACTATTTGTTTGTTTATCTCTTTCCCTACACACACTGAGTTTCTCAAAGGCAAGGATTCTATGATTTATTCAACAGACATGTATACAGAGCCAGCTCTTGGCCATGCTGTGAACAAAGCATGGGGATTATAACAAAGACCTATTAGTATCTTCATAGCAAGCTCTGGAAAAGTGATAATAAAGCAATGTGAAACACATGAAGAGCATGCTTCTTGAATATTAGAAGAGGACTAGGGAATGGTGATTTGGGTGGAGAGTATCTGGAAGGGTTTATTGGAGGAAATAATGACAACTAAGTCTTAAAAAAGAAATAGGATGGTGGTTCATGCATAATGCCTAGAACAGAATAGGAGGCTCTCAACCACTGTTTGTTGAATAGATGGGTGACAATCTACAGCAATATGGGACTCCAGGTTTATAATTCTATCAAATCCAAAAGAGACTTTTCAAGGGGTACATTTATAACCAAGATCTTGCAAACATGGGCCTGATGTTGTAATTCCAACTATGAGTCACTTGGGGATTTTTTAGGCCTCAACCTAATCCTTATATGACCCTGAGTACATTCTGAACATTGAAAACTGTGGGGTCAGTAACTCACTTTCACTCTCAGGAAAGTAATTCCTTGCTAAGGGTATTATACATTCCTGAGAGTGTTATAGGTCAGTGCAATAATCCATCACTTGATTGACGTAGTACCTGAATCATTAAGAAAGGATTAGGACAGTGTCCTGAATGAATCCGACATTCTTTAAGTCTCTTCCTTTAACATTCATACAATAAAATCTAGTTAATTTGGGCACATCCCACTTTGGACATGTGTAGCTTATTTTTCCTGACCTGCATTTCTATAAAATTTGGCTTCTTCCATAAAATGATTGTTTGTAAGGCAAATTAAAGTAAATATAATTACAGAAGATATATTTAACTCAATGTGGACCTACTTAGCACTAATTATGAATGAATCATATCATTCTTTACCTAAGCCTTGACTTATCACTTAGAAGCATTCTTTAGCTATGATTCTCAATTATGTTTTAAATGTACTGGAATGAAGGTAAAAGATATTTTTTTTTAAGTTCTAGCTAATCAAATTAGACAAGTTTGCCTTTTTGAAAAATTGAAGCATAGTTGACTTACAATATTATATTAGTTTCAATGTACAGCATAGTGTTTTGACACTTCTGTAACTATACATTATACAAAGTTATAACATTATTGACTATATTCTCAGTGCTATATATTGCATCTCAGTGACATTTATTTTATAACTCATAGTTTGTACCTATTAATTTCCTTCACCTATTTTGCTCTCCCCAAACCTCCTTTCTTTCTGGCAACCACTCATTGTTTTCTGTATCTATGAGTCTGTTTCTATTTTGTTACATTTGTTTGTTTTGTTTTTCAGACTCCACATATATGCGAAAACATACAGTATTTGTCTTTCTATGTCTGGCTTATTTCACTTAGATAATACTCTCTATGTGCATTCATGCTATTGCATGTGGTAAGATTTCCTAATTTTTTATAATTGAGTAATATTTCACTTATACATTCTTCATCCATTTACATGTCAATGGACCATAAATTATTTCCCATATTATGACTACTGGAAATAATGCTGCAATGAACACTTAAGTGTATGTATCTCTTTGAGTTAGGGTTTTCCTTTTCTTGGGGGCAAATACCAGGAGTGGAATTCCTAAATTGTATGGTAGTCCTATTTTTAATTTTTTTAGGAAACTCCATACTGTTTTCCTTAATGTAAATGTTACCAATTTACAATGTACCAACAGTGCACAACAGTTACCTTTTCTGTATATCTTTGCCAAGAATTATTATTTTGTGTCTTTTTAATGATAGTCATTCTGACAGGTATCAGGTGAATCTCAATGTGGTTTTGATTGCATTAGTGATATTGAATATGTTTTCATGTGCCCACAGACCATATATGTGTATATATATATATATACACACACATATATATATAAAGTGGAAAAATGCCTATTTAGGACTTCTGCCTATTCTAAAATTATATTTTCTTGTTCTTTTGATATTGAGCTATATGAGTTCTTTGGCTTCCCTGGTGGTTCAGACAGTAAAGAATCTGTCTGCAATGTAGGAGACCCAGATTTGATCCCTCGATCAGAAAGATCACTGGAAAAGGGAATGACAACCCACTCCAGCCTGGGAAAAACCATGGACAGAGAAGCCTGGTGGGCTACAGTCCATGGGGTTGCAAAGAGTTGAACACAACTGAGCGACTAACATTTTGACTTTCATTTGTATGAGTTCTTTACACAGTTTGGATGTTAACCCTTTATTGGCCATTTCATTTGCAAATATTTTCTTTCATTCACTAGGTTACCTTCTCATTTTGTTAAGGTTTCCTTCACTGTACAAAGACTTTTTAGTTTGATGTCATCTCACTTTTAATTCTTTTTGCTTTTGTTTCCCTTGCTTAAAGAGAAAGATAAAAAAAAAATTGCTAAGACCAAAGTCAAGGAGAGTACAGTCTCTATTTCTTCTAGGAGTTTTATACTTTCTGGTCTTAAGTTTAAGTCTTTAATCTATTTTGAATCTATTTTTGTATATGGTGTGAAAAAAAAAATCTAGTTTTATGTTCTTCCTTGTAGCTGTCCAGTTTTCCCATCACCAATTATTTAAGAGACTGTCTCTCCCCACTTTTCCTCAATGTAAATTTTTTCCCCCTTTGTCATAATTTAATTGAGCATATGTGTATGGATTTATGTGGGGGCTCTTTATTCTGTTCCATTTATTTATGTATCTGTTTTTGTACCAGTATCATACTGATTTGATTACTATAGCTTTGTAGAATAGTTCAAAGTCATGGAGAGTGATAACTTCAGCTTTGTTCTTCTTCCTCAAGATGGCTTTGGCTGTACAAAGTTTTTTGTGGTCCTATACAAACTTTAGGATTATATGATGGGGTTATGTCCTGATAAGCCAATTGTAATTTGAAATATTATAAGTTAGTGCTAAGAGGAAGGTTTATAGCATTACAGGGTACCTCAAGAAACAAGAACAAAGTCAAATAAATAACCTAACTCTACACCTAAAGCAACTAGAGAAGGAAGAAATGAAGAACCCCAAGGTTAGTAGAAGGAAAGAAATCTTAAAAATTAGGGCAGAAATAAATGCAAAAGAAACTAAAGAGACCATAGCAAAAATCAACAAAGCTAAAAGCTGGTTTTTTGAAAAAATAAACAAAATTGACAAACTGTTAGCAAGTCTCATTAAGAAACAAAGGGAGAAGAACCAAATTAACAAAATTAGAAATGAAAATGGAGAGATCACGACAGACAACACTGAAATACAAAGGATCATAAGAGACTACTACCAGCAGTTCTATGCCAATAAAATGGACAACTTGGAAGAAATGGACAAATTCTTAGAAAAGTATAACTTTTCAAGACTGAACCAGGAAGAAATAGACGATCTTAACAGATCCATCACGAGCAAGGAAATCAAAACTGTAATCAGAAATCTTCCAGGAAACAAAAGCTCAGGACCCGATGGCTTC